GGATTGGGGGGATTGGGGGGATTAGGGGACATTGGGGGGACATTGGGGGATATTGGAGGGATGGGGGGGCTTGAGGGGGTATTGGGGGGATATTGGGTGGATGGGGGGGCATTGGGGGACATTTAGGGGACATTGTGGGGACGGGGGGCATTTAGGGGACATTGGAGGGATAGGGGGACATGGGGGGGATGTCGGGGGGACCCCCACCCTACGGGGCACCCGTGGGGACGGCAGGGGACGCGCTGGGGGCCGACAGTGCGGTGCGTTCCTCGCAGCGCTGGTCATCCTGAACCACTACCTGGCGTTCCAGTTCTTCGCCGAGGAGTATTACCTGTTCTCCGAGGTGAGGGACCTCGGGCTGCCAGCAGGATCCTCAGGGTGGCACTGAGGTCCCTAAGGTGACACCCAAGTCATCGGGGTGGCGTTGGGTTCCTAAAGTGACATCGGGATTGCTAGGGGGTGACAGCGAGGTCCTCGAGGTGACACCGAAGTCCTCAGGGTGGCATTGGGGTCCCTAGGAGGACACCAGGGTGGCATTGGGTCCCTAAGGTGACATTGGGGTCCCCTAGAGGACATGGGAGTGGCATCAGGGTCCCTAAGGTGACACTGGGGTCCTCAAGGTGACACCAAAGTCCTTGGGGTGACATTGGGGTCCCTAGGAGGACACCAGGGTGGCATTGAGTCCCTAAGGTGACATTGGGATCCCCAGGAGGACGTGGGGGTGGCATCAGGGTCCCTAAGGTGGCACTGAGGTCCTTAAGGTGACACCAAAGTTCTTAGGGTGGCGTTGGGTCCCTAAGGTGATGTTGGGGACACAAAGGGGTGACATCGAGGTCCTCAAGGTGACACCAAAGTCCTCAGGGTGCCATGGGGTCCTTAGGAGAACATGGGGTGGCATTGAGTCCCTAAGGTGCCATTGGGGTCCCCAGGAGGTGATGGGGGTGACATTGGGGTCCCTATGAAGACATGGGGTGGCACTGAGGTCCCTAAGGTGCCATTGGGGTCCCCCCACCCGCAGGTCCTGGCCTACTTCACCTTCTGCCTGTGGCTCATCCCCTTCGCCTTCTTCGTCTCCTTGTCGGCCGGGGAGAACGTGCTGCCCTCCACCGTGCAGCCTGGGGGTGAGCTGTGGGAGGGGGGGTGGGGGGGCCAAAATTGGGGCTGGGGGGTTGGGGGGGGAGGGGGGGGCTGCGTTGCTCCCATACGTGCGGACAGGACCTTCCCAACCCAACCCCACCCCCCGTGGCTCTGTGACCTGTTAGGACCCCCAGTTCCCCACCTCCTCCATTCACAATCCCCCCCCCTGCCCCCCCCATTCCAAATTCTCTGCTCTGCCCCCATTCTCATTGATGGTTGGACTGGAGGATCTCATAGGTCTTTTCCGACCTTAGTGACTCTGTGACTCTGTGATTCTGTGGTTCATCATTCCCCACTCCCCCCCCATTCTCAATTCCTTCCTCTCTCCCATTTCCCATTCATAATCTTCCCCCCCCGTTCATTTTTCTCAATCC